CTGGAGCCGTCGCCCCTCGCCCGGGGGCCAAGAGAAGCAGCAGCTCCCCAGCACGCCGTCTCCACCGGGCCCCCAGAAACCCGGTGGGAGCCTGTGGGGCTCCTGCAGGTCTTCCAAGCACTTATTCCTTCCAGAGAGGGTGGAGATTTTGTTCAAAATGAGTGACAACTACCACATTCTTCCAGGCTGAAACCTATTTGGAAACTTTGCTAAGATTATGGGCTAAAAAGGAAGGGGAAAGCGAGACACCCACATCTCAGTGCTTGTAGGGAGTGTTGGTGTGATCAATCCCTACCAGTACAGAGATTTCTCCAAAAGAGTGGAGAAGTTTGGTAGGAAACCATGGGAGTGCTCATTTAAGAGCCAAATTCCTGTTAGCTCACAGTGCCTGTCTGTGGACACACGCGCGGTGACACTCTTCTCACTGTTTACTGTGGTGATGCAGTCTGTAATATCTGAGAAATATTTCGGGATTTGAGGAAAAAAGGAAGATTTGGATGAAGTGCGATAGTTGCTGCCTAGCGTGCTGGCTATCGTAACACTTGCTTGTAAAATGACTTGTGAAAAAGCAGTGTTTGAAATTTGTATTGTTTTTTTTTTTTCCTCTCTTCTTCTGAGTCTTTTCTTCCTCTCCTTAAGATCCCTTCTGTCCACAAATCACTGTGCACGAGTAGTAGTAGCAGTTTTATACAGCAGGGTTTTCCTCAGGTAATGCATTTTTAATAAAGCAGAAACAATTCAGAAATCTGTAGTCTGTTACAGTGGGAACTAAGGAATTTTAGTTAAATTTTTCGATTTTTGGACATCTTATTTATAGTAATAATGTCTGTAAGTCCAAACCTTTAGTATCCAAACTGCTGCTGTTCCCAGAATATCCTCTTGCCATGAAATTGCCGTAATTTTTCCACATGCATAGCTTTGTATCCGTGCTCAGAAAAGATAGCCGTTGTATTCAGTTGCCAGGATGCTGAAATAAATCAGCTCAAAAAGGCAGACGTGTCCTACTTCCTGTATCATCATAGAAGATGCACGTTTTGGTTGGATGTTTTTTGAACAGAGCTGGACAGGAAAATATTTTATGCAAATTTTTGTGAAGGTTTTTGAGAGTTGAGAAATGTACCTTCTCTGCACTGGAACAAAACCTTGTACTCTCAAAGGTTGTGGGTTTTTTTTTTTGTGGAGAAAGCAAAAGTAAATTCTCTGAGATGGGGAGACCTGGAGGCTGAATAAGGACACAAATATGGTTTTCTGACATGAGTATGAGCACATTGACTGTCACACTGTTTTTTTCCATTTCCACTGGAAATTCCTAGATGTTAGAGATCTGTGCTGATGGACATTTTTGTTGAAATTGGTGAAAAGTTTCTGTGGGCAGAAATCTGTTTTATTCTCACTTCCAGCTCTGGCGCAGATTATGTTGTGAACACGAACAAACTGCTGATACTTTGAGTGGTGTTAGACTATATGACATGGTGTTTTGAATCACTTTAATTAACCCCCCACCACGTGCACAGCTTTTAAAGTCCTGACAACACCCGTGTTTCGCTGAGAATACATGGGTAGTCTCGAGCTGTGCACGTCTGCCCTGGTGATGGGTTTATGTGAAAGGGTCATGCCAAGAAATGGGTAGCAGGTAACTCCACCCTGGTGCCAGTGGACTAAACCTGTAAGCTTTGGTCACACGTGAATCAATACATCGGTTCCAGAGAAGACACTGTAGCTGCCCTCCTCTGCAGCAGCTCCTGGGATTGCGTTCCTTCCTGACGGTGGGACCCGTTTGGACAAACAAGAGTAGCTTTCGGAAGAAAGACGAGTGTCTTGTGTGGATGCAGGGAGAATCCCTTGCTGAATCTCATGTGGGAGGACAACCTCAGCTTCCTGACACAGCTGGAGCTTCACGAGACCCTGTGAAGGTTTATGACCATCAGTGATAAGAGTCCTGGATGACTTTTGTTTCCTCTCTTCCACGATCTCTATAAAATACTTCCCCCCAGACATTTTTATAAAGTTAGCACGTAGCTGGATAGTAAATGTATTTGTTAAAGATTATTTTTTTTATTTCTTTATTTCAGACAGCACCGCTTTTTCCTCATCAAATCCGCATGCTTTCCAGATTAATTTTAACAGCTTATACACAGCCTTGTGTGAGCAGCAGAAATCTGACCAAGCGACTCTCCTTTTGTACATGCTTCTGCATCAAAACACCAACGTACGGACATATGTGTTGGCACGAACGGACATAGAAAATCTTGTAAGTATTGCTCTGCTTGCCTTATACTCATCCTGAGGGGTTAATCCTGGAAGCCTGGGTGTCACCAGCTGCCAGTGTCCCCTGTTCTGCAGTGGAGCAGTAGGTTCTGGCTCACTTATTCACCAGTTCTGGCCAGCTCACTTTTAGTTTGACATCTCAGGAGTATGATGCTAGACATGTCACTGCAGGAAAAGATAGCGGTGATAAAGCTACCAGGCTGTCTTTTTTTCCCTCTTAGTGCCACTGCCTGATCCAAGTCAAAACTGCTGATTTCTGGGCATGGTGTAAAGAAACTAGTAGCAGATATCATTTTATTCGTTATTTTATTCTTCATTTTTAGATATTCAGGCTGAAGAGTTACACAAGCTTACTGTGTGCGTACAGCGATAATAGTTAACAAAATGAACTGTAACTTTACTAATATGCCAGATGTCTTACAGGGTTGACCTGAGGCTGAAACTCCTCGAGGAGCAGCTGACAGATTTTATAGAAATGCAACTATAGTGACTTTTTAGCTGCTATAAATAGGATTGTGGTTAATGGCCAATATAACAGACACCTGGTACAGTTTTTGTAGATTATAAATTAGGTTATGCTCCCCATTACGTTTAGTAAGTTCACAAACCACTTTAACAAATCTGACTTAATAAAAAGCATTCCTTTAAGATAATGGCTGTCTAGGGGAACTGGTAGCGGAATAGAGAACCCTTTCCATTTTAATGTTTGAAATCTCGCCAGATAATTATCTCCCTTGCCTGTTTGAGGGCAGATATGGAATGAGTTTGGTCTCAGTCCAAGTTCTAGCAGATGTATTGCTAAAATCAGAGTTGACAGACACCACTGTTGGCAAACTTGGGTGAGATGGTTGATACTGAATTGATCCTAGACTGAACTCCTGTGTAGTCTGCTGCAGATTATCTAGGTGAGGGCTGAGTCATTTCACATGAATTCTGTGAACAAGTGGTCCTGCTTAATTTTCTGGGCTGTTAGTGTGCGATATGACATTTTTACAGCTGCTAACTATATCAATTTACTTTAGGGAAATAAAGGTTAGATGTGTGCATTGCTTTAGAATTATGATGTCTGATATATTGTAAGACTTCCAGAAGAAGCGTGAGGTGCGTGTGTCAAAACAACTCCAGATGCAGGTACTCAGATGCTCTGCCGTTTGGGATATTTTCATATATTATCGCCTATCTTTCCTCCCCTTCAAAAACAAACAAGCAAAACCAACCAACCACCCCTGAAAATCCCAGAATCGCAGGAATAATCAGCAACATTAAACATTTTGTGGGAAAAGCTGAGAAAATTGAGAAGAACATCACTGAAAAGTCAACAGCATGTTTGATTTAATTTTTTTAATACTAAAATGTGAAACCGTCCACTCTTATTTTACCCTTGATGGACACGGTTGCTGGTTTTGGTCGCTGCTGACACACTATGGACATGTTTTTACAATTCTCTTGTTTTCAGCGGGCTGGCAGGTAAGGATGAGCAGCGGCTGACTGAGAAGAGCAGTTCTAATTGCTTAGTAACGTAGGCTGAGCCAGGCACAAAAAGGGTTGGGGGGTGGGAGGGTTATTGGACAAAGAAATAATGACCTCCCAGTTACAACCCCGCGGTGAAGAAGGCTAATTCAGTCTTGAGCTTGTAAATGAGAGGAAGGGGCAGGAGTAGGGAGCTGGGTATTTCTTTTCCTTCATGGCACCTGCAAGAATGGTGCTAACATGCTTCATAAAATATTTACAGGCTATTGAAAAATAGAGAGAGTGGAGAGAAACTTTTTTTTTTTCCCCTTTAAAATTAGTAGTGAAACTGTGAGAGGCTCAGATAGCTAATTTGTCTCAGTTGGTCAGAGGAGAGCTTCAGAAGCATGAGGATGTGTGAGGAAGCAAGGGGAAAGCCTTGAACAGAACGGATTCTCTGCTTGCAAAGAGGTGTGATTAAGAACAAAAGCCCGGAGGTTGGATCCCACGACTTAGAGATGCAGGAGCAAAACAGTCAAGGTGAATAATTCAGAAGAAAAAATACTGGCAAAACAGTGCTCTCCATGGATATCTTTGAATGAGGGTGGATGACTTTTTGGGGGAACGTGGCGTAAGTTAGTGCTGTCTTCAGACAGAGGCAGTTGGGTGAAACGTGAGGGTGTGTGTTATATGAGAGATGAGATCAGCAGTCATCTGAATTCTCCTCTTAAACTTTTAGGGGCTTCGTAGGATGTTCTTTTTTCACAGCACTCAGGGTGTCACATTTGTTGCGTTTTCCCCTGTTTTAATAATTCCCAGTTTTGATGCCCAGGAAGCATCACTAGCAGATGTTCTGTGACGCTTCCTAGAGGTTTTTAAAATGCACTTTTGCCCTTTTGCAACTTCAATTTAATGTATAAATTGATTCGGCGTCTTTTTGTTAACTTTTGTAATAGATAATGTCTCTGCTTGCTTCCTCGTTTGTGCATGGGTCTACCTCTTGTCAGTTATATTTGAATATCTCTGCCTCCTGTTGTGCTTTATAATGCTTGATCGATAATTTTAAGGCAGTGAACTTTTTTTGATCTGATATAAGTCTGGTCGGTAGGATGAATAGGATGTTTGTGTGTAACTTCCATAACTCATAGCATGTCACTTTGTATCATTTTATAAAATAATTTGCTTCGATATCTGAAGCTGTTAGGGATGTTCATATCTGGAATTTGGCTGTTTTGTTGAAGGTATTTGCAAGGATTCTGCAGAAAGTGGTGGGACTGGTGAAATGGGGTGCAATTAGCAGATGTTTTTGTAAGTGTAGCGGTGTGGTCTGCGGATGGGAGAATGTAGAGCCTTCTTCTGTTTGCAAGAGCTGTTAACACCCATATTGCAGGTGAAAATGCCAGTGAGATATCTGCTTGTAAGAAATAAGCTATTTCAGTTTGATATGTTTGCTTTGGCTGCTGAGCTGTGCAGCCCTGCTGTACGCTGTGCATTTCACTGCTGCTCAACGTGTCTGGGCTGAAATAATGTATATGATGATGATGTACTTACACCAACTGATGCTACAGCAGTATTTTTTTCCTGTGGTATACAAATTTGTTTTAAGTGGGTTACTTGTGTGGCTACGCGGGCTTGTGTTTTGTTGTGTGTTAAAGACAAGCTATTTTAAAACTCTTTGCTGGTGAAACTGTTCCTGACCTTGGGCTGAGTATAGCACCTGTAATTTTCAGTGTCTATTTTTTACCTGCCCCTTGTTTTGAGGATTAAAAGTAGCTTTTTAATAGTGGCCGTGTCTTGCCAGTTAAAAGCTGCTCCTGATGGAGAAGTGTTAGTAGTAGTCTGGCAATGATAGTTTAATGATGATGAATAAAAGGGCCAGCAATACAAAAATAAGTGGTTATAGAATCATAGAATCATAGAATCATAGAATCATTAGGGCTGGAAGGGACCTTCAAAGGTCATCTAGTCCAACCCCCCCTGCAAGGAACAGGGATATCTCCAACTAGATCAGGTTGCTCAGGGCCTCATCCAACCGGGCCTTGAACGTCTCCAGGGATGGAGCATCCACCACCTCTCTGGGCAACCTGTTCCAGTGTTCTACAACTCTCATGGTAAAAAATTTTTTCCTAATATCCTCTTCTTCTTGTCGACAATGCCAGTTCATAAGAAGATAGGTGTAAAAGTTTTAATGTATGTGCATAACATGACAGTGTAGAAACGCATTTTGGTTACAATTCTAAATATATTTTAAGGTAATCTTGTATCTTAGCTCTTTTTAGAGTGGTGGCTCATTAAATACTTTTTGTTCTGAGAATACTAATACTTGTCCTAAAGTTATATGTACCTCAGCAATCAGTATACAAAGGAAGAAATGTTCAGAGGATGAAAGGTGGTAGAAACTGTAACAATTGATTCAGTTTTCATCTGGAAACGGAAGGTAGAGTTAAATTGGTGTTCATCTCCTTGAGTTTGGTCCGGCTGGTGGACAGAGAAGTCTGAAAGAGGAGTGGAAAGGAAAAGCGTGGCCAGGGGAGGGGAGGTGGGATGAGAAGGTTTCAAAAACTTTCAAGACATGTTCAGGGCAGGAAGACTGAGTGCAGTGATCTGGAGAGAGAAATCGCTCTTCAGAGCAAGAATGATTTCAGTAGCTGCTCTGAAATCTTGGGAAAGTACTTTCACGTGTCGGCTCATATGGAAATGTCTATGATGTCTCAATGTCAGAATCAAGATGCCCTTTTTTAAAGTATTTTGTAGCAACACGATTGCAGGACTCAGAGTGCTTAAGGAACACAAATGTGCTTTTCCAGCTATAATTTTAGACCTAATGTTAATATGCATGGAGGAGTGGTGTTGGGCTGTTCAGCAGTAATACGTTTTGCCATGGTGCTTTGTATGGTATTATTTAGCACACGCCGGACTGGGTGACCGTGTGTTGAGGGAGTGCAAGGCACGTGCTGCGAAAGGCAGTATATTCAATTTTGAGTAGATGTAGAGATTAAGACACGAGTATTTGGCAGCTGTCTTAAAAAATAAGTTGCTGTTCCACTGGTTACTTTCAGAAAGGCGTTTGTTGTTCTCTCTGCAAAGTCAAGTTGCAAATGCAGTTGTTCTTCTTCTACCTTCTACTGCAGGTAGTTTTATATTGCTTCCTGCAATACGCAGCTTACTGCAGCGCTTGGACTTGGGTCGGGGCAATCCCAAGCACAAGTACAGGCTGAGTGGAGAATGGATTGAGAGCAGCCCTGAGGAGAAGGACTTGGGAGTGCTGGTTCAGGAGAAGCTCACCATGAGCCGGCACTGTGCACTGGCAGCCCAGAAAGCCAACCGTGTCCTGGGCTGCATCCAAAGCAGCGTGGGCAGCAGGTCGAGGGAGGGGATTCTGCCCCTCTGCTCTGCTCTCCTGAGAGCCCACCTGGAATACTGCCTTCAGCTCTGGGGTCCCCAGCAAAAGAAGGACATGGAGCTGCTGGAGCGGGTCCAGAGGAGGCCACGAAGATGATCCGAGGGCTGGAGCACCTCTGCTCTGGAGACAGGCTGAGAGAGTTGGGGCTGTTCAGCCTGGAGAAGAGAAGGCTCCGGGGTGATCTTATAGCAGCTTTCCAGTACCTAAAGGGGCTACAGGAAAGCTGGAGAGGGGCTTTTTACAAGGGCGTGTAGTGACAGGACAAGGGGCAATGGATTTAAACTGAAAAAGGGCAAATTTAGATTGGATATAAGGAAGAAATTTTTCGCTCAGAGGGTGGTGAGGCACTGGAACAGGTTGCCCAGAGAAGTTGTGGCTGCCCCATCCCTGGCAGTGTTCAAGGCCAGGCTGGATGAGGCTTTGGGCAACCTGGTGTAGTGGAGGGTTTCCCTGCCCATGGCAGGGGGGGTGGGACTGGGTGATCTTTAAGATCCCTTCCAACCCAAACCATTCTATGATTCTATGATTCTATGTTAAGTAGATATTTTAGGAAAACTTGGTATTTACTCTGAAGTCCTATATTCACAAAACATGAAGACATCCACTGCAGTTTGGACTGGAGAGAGATGCTCGTGAAGGATCCTTTGAAAATATAAAGGAGGGATGTCAGCAACGTGTAAATATTTCTTCCTTCTGCTATTGTTGTGGTATTGTCTTCACCCTGGCTGAAGCATCTGTCAGAAGGTTTTGTGGCCTGCAGCATTTGGATCAATCTCGTTGGTTTTAACAGAAACCGTCGAGTGTTTTAATATGTTCCAACTGTTTTGGGACTGGTTGGTTGTAAGAGAACATTCTGGTGACTTCAGAGGCTTTTTTTGCACTTGGTGTCCTGGCCGCTCACCAGAATAGGTTTCACATGATTCATCCTGCTGCAGTTGGCCTGTTTTGAAAAACAGAAAGTCTTTAGGTGTCTAGAAGCTTCTTGGAACAAATTCTGCATCTCATCTGCTATCTGGGACTTGAGAGTTTTCTCCAGTTCCTTTTTCCAGGGTGTTTTGCGATGTAGGCCTGTTTCTACAGCCCGGGGAAGCCACGTTGTGCTGAGCCAGTGGAAAGCTAATTTTCAGTTGGTAGAGAGACAACGTTTGCATCTGGATTGACTTTAGACTAGCATTCAGGTATGCTTGCTGCTGCAATGAAACCTCATTTTCAGTGTTATTGCAAGACGTTGGCTTCAGCCGTTCATCCTGGTGGAAGTGTTGCAAGACCTTGGGCTGAACTCTCATCGTGATGTCAGTTCTCTTTGGCTACGTATTATCTAAAATTGGAAAAACAGGCCTTTTCTAGTCCTAACCTAACCCAAGCTGGTTCTTCTGTGGGATTATCTCCACCCACCAAAATGGGATTTGAGTTTCAGGTCTCCAGATGCCTCTGTGCACCTCAGCTCCACTATGCCTGATTGTATTTGATGAGGAAAGTCCTTTCAGATGAGGCTTGTGCTAGCACAGATGATTAGAAACAGTTGTTCTCCTGCTTGAACTTGTGAAAATCTTGTTTAACAAATGTGTTTTCCCGTAGTTTAGAGGGGAACTAAAGCTTTCAGAGCCTATGGTAACTGGTATGGCTGGAAATCTCATTTATTAGGAGTTGAAATTCCATGTCTGACCACAAGAAAGAATTTGTTTAGGCTCTCTTGTGGAGACAGAATAAAACAGATGGAAGGTGCTTGGACACTGTACGTCACTACTTGGGGGTGGTTGTTTCAAAACGGAGAAGTTGCTATGATATTGTTAAGGGCAGGGTGATGCATGGGAGGTTTAGAGTCTCCTCTGGTTTTTGTCTGAAGTATTTGGAAGACTAAACTGACACACATGTTTTTCCTTCACTGAAGGTTCTGCCAATTCTTGAAATTCTGTATCACGTTGAAGAGAGGAATTCGCACCACGTTTACATGGCTCTTATCATTTTGCTGATCCTTACGGAGGACGATGGCTTCAACAGATCCATTCATGAAGTGGTGAGTCGTTGTTCAGCTCTCAGAATTCTTCAGCTTTAAAAATCGTTTCAATGTTTATTTTTATAAAAATGCATCTCTATATCTGTTTCTTCAGCAGAAGCTGTGTTTCTCCAAATTTGATGGCATATACCCATTTTTTTTGTAAGGAGTAGCGACCCAAAGTTAGTAGGGTAATTTCAGGACTTTTCTGAGTGAAGTGAACGAATGCACTCCCTCTTGTAGGGGAGATGCTGCCTGTACCTCTTTTTCTGTCCTTTTTGGTGTTTTCTGTTACAAATTAACGTAGTAATAGCCAAGCAGGCTGCCTCAGAGGTGCTGAGTGTTTGCCATGGAAGTGGAGGGGGTAGAATAGAGAGAAGAATCAGAGAACGGTTTTTATTTCTCTTGAAAAACTTTGCTTAACCAGTTTGATGCAGCTGAAAGGAGCTTTTAGTTGGAGTTTTCTTTTCTGTACTTAACGTTACTTCCTTACTTGGCGTTTCTTTTTCTATCCTTCTGCTATAGTGATATCTGGTTTATATTGTCTGTATAATATGATCTAAATTTTGACTGTCTTTGATGGGCCTTAAGCATCTATGCTGGAGAATACCTTGGATAATTATGTTCTAGTTCCCTAGCTTATAAAGCTATAGTAATGCAGAAGATACCTGCACTGATTTTACTTAATTTTTTTTAACCGGGACGTGGCAACTCTCTCGTGGGGTTACGTGAAATTAATGAAGTGCAAAAAGCTGAAAGCAAGTGTCAAGGTATCTAAAGAGAATTCTTCTCCGAGGTAAATTCCCAGCCTGTTTTGGAGGGAGCTGGCTTTTTTTTCTTGGTGCCAAGCAGTAGAGACTTACAGGTGTTCACTCTGAAATTTCTGATTATTTCCTATAGCTCTGTATGTAGAAAGCAGGAAGAGATGATGTTTACAATCAATTTCTTTAAAGTTACTTTTAGGGAGCAGGTTTTAGGAGTAGCACCTATAGTAACTATGCAGATGACTGAAACAATGTTTTCCTGAAGCTTTCTTCTGCCTCACCTTCATCTACCTTGAACCTACAAGTATGCACTGCATATGTACGTGTGTGATGTGTATTTGGGATTCCGTGTCATGAAGTCATTTAACTTCTGCTCTAAATTGAGCTTGTTGGGTGTTAGAGCACAGCAGATAACGTTTCTCTCCTGCCTTGGTCTCTTCCCAACTTTGTTTGTTCATTTTAAAGGCTGTACACATGGTCTTTCAATAAATTCCTTACCGGATAAGTGAAAGTGGAAGATTACCCTAAAGTTTTTAATGAGGATCCAGCTGTGGAATGAAAACATAAATCAAGCTTTCTTGTCTGGTTTATTCTTGCCTTTGCAGCTAACTCTGCCAATACAGTTGTAGTGTTTTCTGTGCAATGTGGATGTAAGTTTACTATTTCCATTTTAACAAAAAAAAACAAAGCAAAACAACCAAAAAGAAACCCGACCTTGTTCTTTTCCCCTGCAATGATTTTTTCCAGTCCTGGCTTTGCTTCTTTAATCATCTTCTCAATTTAATCTTTGATTTTTACTTCAGATTTTCACTAACTGTTTCTTTCTTTTACCCTATGGTTGTGTTTCTCTACTCTGTAGTGTCTGGTGAGAAGCTCCCATTCATCAGTAGCGTTATGTGGCAAGAGTTTTACTGGTTTTGCTTCTTAACTAGGTAGTGGGAGGTGGCTGTGAAGTGCCTGAGCCTGCAGACCTGTCTGTGTGAACTTCTCCTGTCAGCCCTACTGCAGAAAAAGCTGTGAAAATGAAAACTTTTGCCATCAAAAGTGCCAGTGGAGCACTATGACACTGCAGAGGATGGATGTGGAATAACCGTAATCGTTCCTCTGTTCCTTACTGTTCTTTCTCTTGCTCTGTTCTCCATTCTTTGATGCATGGGGGCATGTTTCATGCTGAAGGAGAGCACCAACTTGGAGGCTAAGCAGAATACTTTTCCATCTTGCAGTGCTTTTATTGAATTTGAAGGCTTTTTCTTGCCCCCTGCTCTTAACCTTGGTATCACATGGATGGATGGATTGGATGCAGTGAAGGAGAAAGAGGATGTCTCCCCCTGTTCAAAACTTCAACTGTGTACTCTGAAAGTCCCCTAAGTAAACTATGATACAGACAAGAAGGTTGATGATGGTGTGATACCAACTCTTAAATATTCCTTCTAGAAAGGATTCCTTATCTACAGAAAAACCACATCCTGTTATACTTCAAAAAAATAAAGTTACCTTCTCCATCTACTTTATCTATGGCATCCCTGAACTTTACAGAGGGATGTGGATATCAAAATGCAAATGTGAGCATTGCATCTTGTCTTGTGAACTGTTGGGGAATGGATACGTGGGTGGTGGGTTCCTATGGATCCCATGATGGGGAATAATTGTACTTAGTGCCCCACTTTATGGAAAGAGTATTCAAAATCATACTGATAAATCACTTCGTCTGGCCCATCTTTTTGATTTATTTTAAATGGATGTTTCCAGGTATGAATGACCAAGTTACTGTTCAAAAACTGCAGTACAAAGTAAGACATTAGTCTCATACTTTCTTAAATATTAATTCCACGTCTCCTGAAGGCTAAGAGGAGGGCAGCAAAATGAATGGAATCAGGAAGGCTGTGTAGGTATTTCTGTAAAATGTGAACATCTAGCCACAGTTACACGACTGGAATGACACTCTTAGTCACTGCAAGTGTTTATCCAATTTTAGCAATTACAGCAGGATTTTTTTTTCCCCCGTCACTTAGGTAAAGCATGAAGAAAAAAGGATTTGATGTGGTTTAGATCAGCCTGTTTTTCTCTCTGCTGCTGTGCAACGTGTGTACTGTTCTTATAAAAAGCATGACTGTGCAGTTCTTTTATGGACTATTTTGCTTTGTGGTATTTAACCCACACTTACTTATTGATTTTTAAGATTAATTTTAGTAAGCACAGTTTTATAAATCTTGTGATTATACTGACTGGTAAAGAGCTCAGGTAACCACAGGAACTCTTTTGACTGCTGAAGCATTTTTTGTTTAAAATCAATGTGGTCTTAACTGCCTAGAAAATACGATCACAACCATAGGTCCTGTTCCTGCAATTGGCTTAATGCAATTTGGTCCCTGTAACCACGTAGAACTCAATTTCTTTAATAACAGCCACCGAGTGAATAAGTAAATGCAAGAATTCTATGAAGGGAACACGTATTTGTGATTTTTCTTCTGGTTTATGAAACTGTGAATAAAATGACATCGAATGTCAAAGAAACATGATATAGTACTTTATGTAACAGTAACCTATAGTACTACTACAGTACCTTATGCTGTAGTAGATAGTGATAGAGCGTGAATCACAATTTAACTATGTTTTCTTTTATTGCATCAAGAAATACCCCACAAGCAACGTTACAGGAAACTGAGACTGAGAATCTCAGTGCTCAGTATGTATAGACCTGAGTTCCTGTTCTTTGCATCTGGAGTTCTTGCACCCTGAGTTGTAGGTGTCTGGGAGCCTGGGTGTTAAAAGAATAATTAATCAGGACATCTTAATTTTTGCTTATTTATTTTTTAACCATTCTTGCAAGACCACCTCAGGTCTGAGCTTTTTTTTTTTTTTTTTTTCCATTTTTAGTATTATCTGCAAACCAATGAGCTTGTTCAAATTGTGGCACTGACTTTGAAATTTAAGATAGTTTCATGTTTCGTGCTGCTGAAACCCAAAACCGTGTGAGGGCTGGTGGTGGTTCCTGTTTTTGTTTTTTAAATAGGTGTTTCATTGCTTACTTGCTATGGTTGCTTTTTTCAGCACGGGGGAGAGGAGAGGTGACGCAGACCGGTATATAACTTTTTAACTTTGAATTTTGGTGTTTCTTTTTTAAGAGCAGTGAACTATTACAAGGCACAGTTGTGTCAGTGGACATCACTTTCCAGGGTTGGTGTTTCTAAAGTTTCAGTGAGAACCATTGGCCATTTCTGGAGTGAGACTAGAGCATGAACATAGAATCACAGAATGGTTTGAGTTGGAAAGGCCCTCAAAGATCATCCAGTTCCAACCCCCCTGCCATGAGCAGGGACACCCTCCACTACACCAGGTTGACCAAAGCCCCATCCAACCTGGCCTTGAACACTTCCAGGGATGGGGCAGCCACAACTTCTCTGGGCAACCTGTTCCCGTGCCTCACCACCCTCAGAGTGAAAAATTTCTTCCTTATATCTCATCAAAATCTCCCCTCTTCCAGTTTAAAGCCGTTTCCCCTTGCCCTATCACTACATGCCCTTGGAAGACATGTCTTGTCTGTGGTTACAACTATCAACGTGTTCTTTAACAAGCTCTGGTAGCTTCACGTTTTGCACCAGAAATTTGAAATTTAGCAGGTGTTCTTCACGCTAGGACTCTGCTGCTGATAATCTGACTAAATTTGAACAAACTATGAATCTCC